AAGAGCTCTGACAATCCGGGTGGCTGAGTGGACTGGAGAGGCATACAGGAGACACTTGGGCCTGGCTGCTCAACCTATAAGAAAAATACAAAGTAATTCCGATCATTCATGGAAGCCAGACAATCCTCCTTCAGTGGGATCATATACAAAATAGAATGGAAATAATTTTGTTCAAGGGACCGGAAGACAACAGGATAGTGTACTTTATTTTGGGAACCCAGAAACAACACGACTCTAAAAGGGTACAGGTTTTTCAAGTCAGCAAGCAAGTATCCAACAGTAAGCATGCATATTGGCACTAGTACCACACAATGGGTGCCATTACTGGTTTGAATTTAAAGACAGCTCAAGATGACTTGGAAGGATGTTGAATAGGAAGAATCTCCCAGGGGCTTTCTTAGAGATCCTTTCTGGGGAGCAGAATATTCTGAAAGTGAATCACTGGCTAGAAGTATAAAATAGGTCTTCATTTTGTGGTATATTGATGCACCTTCATAGGAGGAGAGGGAGTTATACAATTTGGATGGCTTCAGAAGAAGAGTTCTTCATCATTATAGGTTTGGATTTAAAGATAATCTTATAGTTTAGTGAAAAGGTGAAATGAAGGTGAAAAGTGGGAATACATGAGAAAACACAGCAGAAAAATCAAGAAGTTGAGAACAAAAGTAATCAAGATACAAAGGACACAAAGATAAAAAAGATCTTTAATTACAGTATATCAATACTAGGGGTTGGGTTAATAAACAAGAAGACCGTAAATTGTCCATTTATAAGCATGAATCCATTTAGTTGGTTTTACTGAAACCTGAAGGAACGATTTATGCTACTGGAAGGTTAAAAAAGTCAATGGTTATAACCTATTCAGGAAAGACTGAATAGGTGAAGATAACAAAAATTGTGGCACTCTGTCAAAATTGGCATTACCTGCTTCTAAATTATGGACAATCTTAGTGCTTGTGGACCTATGTTCTGACAGCTACAGAAGATAGGTTACTTTTTGCTGTCAGCAACAAACTACCAAATCATACTAGAACACAAAAAGGCTCTCAGAGAAAATTATTCTATATTTTGGGGGGGAAAGAAAGTTGTTATCCTGGCAAATGTCAGTCTGAGTGACATACTCAAAAGAAATCATATTGCCAGTACTAAAATGTTCATCAATAATTTTTTTTAGCAATTACAAGAGCATTTTCTGACTCAAAGTGTACATGTGGGAGATTTCTGCGCTAGAGCATCTTGACAAATCACAGAAGCAGCAGTCTAGATGCCAGTGATCGTGACTTGATTATGTGTAATTCTGCAAACAGAATAAAATATAAATACTTGGCATTTTTAAAAAGTCAATTTCACAAAGCTGAATACAATTAGAAGGCCAAATTTGTTGGGAGAAATATGAATAATAATTGATAACTGTTGAAGAACATTTTATTAAAGGTCCAAAAAACCTACAGTCCCACAACTGAAAGAAAAGACTGCACTAATCCAAAAATAATCATGTCTAGAGAGGATGTGAAGGCAGCTATAAAAAATATAATACTATTGATTCCATAAATCATGGAATTTTTCTGAATTATTCCATTATGGAAGAAAGAAGCAGCAGATGGCAGAAAGTAAAAAAACTCAGAAACTAGGAACTGTAGAAAATTAGCATTGGGAAGCAAAAGGACATGAGGAACAATCTATGGCCAGCAGACTTTAGGAGAGTCAGAAGCACTCTTCAAACATATCAAGAAGAATAAAAATTCTTATAATAGTATTGACACGACTAGAAGAAAATTATAGACTTAATAATAGTGCAGAAAGACATGAACATTCAATACGTATATCTATTACCTATTTGAGTAAAAGACCTCTGATGATGATGATGATGAAACACTCCTAAATCTGGATAGTTTTAAATCATCAGGTTCAGATAACTCTGACCTAAAAATTTTTAAAACACGGGATGAGGAGCTTTCTGGATCATTAATACTAACTTTTGGAGTAAATATTGGAACAGTAGAGAAGTTCTAGAAGAAAGTTTTTTTTTAAAAAAAAGCTAATATGATGCCAATATTTTAAAAGGGTAAACAGGATAACCCTGCTTACTACAGGCATGTCAACCTAAAATCAGTGCCAAGCAAAATAATGGAACTGCTGACACTGGTCTTATTTAATAAAGAATTAAAGGAGAATAAGATAAGTAATGCAAATCAATCTGGTTAAATGGTAAATGATTTTTGGCAAAGTTTCTTGGTATGTTTTTCTGATGAGATTAATGTTTGATGAAAACATCAGTGTAAAAATATTAGAATCTGTAAAGCATTCAACTAAGTATTGCATGACATTATGTTTAATGAAGAAGAATGACAAGATAAACAGCAGACATAATATGGTTTAAAACTGGCTAACTGACAGATCTCAAAATGTAACTGTAAATCAGTAACCATCAAAGAAAAGGTTAATATCTATTGAGGTATCACAGGGATTTGTTCTCAGCCTTACACATGTTAACATTTTTATCAATGATCTGAAAGAAAAAAAGGTGTTGCTGACAAAGTTTGCAGATGCCACAGACATTTTGGGAGTAGCTGATAATGGAGAGTTCAAGTCACTGATAGAGCAATCTGAACTGGTTGGTAAGCTAGATGCAAGCAAATATATGCCTTTCCATATGGTCATATGTATATTCATATACCTAGCAAAAAAAAGAATATGGACCATATGCACAGAAAGGGGACCTTATTACGGGAAACAGAGATTCTGAAAAAGGGCTGGGGTTCATGGTAAATAACAACCTCAATAGGAGCTCCCACTATGATGCTGTGGCCAAAAGGGCTAATGCAAACCTTGGATGCACAAGCAAAGAAATACAAAGTTAAAAGTGGTTTATAATATGACCTCTATTCTTGGGACTGATACAATCACTACTGGGATACCATGTTCAGTTTTGGGCTCCACGATTCAAAAAAGAGGTTGATAGACTGAAGAAGTTTTAAGAAAGAGCCACAAGCATGATACACGGATTAAAAAACATGCCTCTTATTGAAAACATGCCTCCATCCTTCATAAGTTTAGTTTAACAAAGATAAATTGAAGGAATATTTGATCCACAAGTGCCTATACGGGGAACAGGGGTGTAGGTTGTAGCCGTGTTGTAATTTGACTACAGAACACTCCATCTGATTCACCATGATTAGAAATGTTAAAATTAAGACTGGTTAGGTTTCTGAAAAATATACTGCTCTAGCTGACATGGAAATTAATTCAGGGAAATCTATGTCCTTTGTTATACTAGAGATAAGACTGCATTGCTGTGGTTCCCTCTGCCTGTGTATAGATGCACATGCAGCCTTCTAGATATATGTGTCTTTTCCTTGTTTTAGTTCTGCCACCCTACCTGTTACATTTAAATGCCTAGAAGAAAATAATGGAGTGGATAAGCGTGTTACAAGATTTGTACTCCCAGTGGGTGCTACAATCAACATGGATGGCACAGCTTTGTATGAGGCTTTGGCTGCAATTTTCATCGCGCAAGTTAACAACTTTGATCTGAACTTTGGGCAGATTATCACGATCAGGTACAGAAGCCATTTGGGAATGCTTTGATTAAAAGTGCCTTTATGTTGATCACCCTCTTAGCTTACCCACTACAGACTGAAGAATGGCTTCCACAACTGCTACGTATGAGTCTGAGCTACATCTTAGTAGCTAACCAATTATTACATGATTTGTATTCTCAGTGTATCAGCATAAAAGAGTCCCTGCAAAGCATGCAAGTGGGTTAGCCTTTAAAATTGTAATATGAAAACATAATCATTGAGTTTGAGGGTCATCAACAGCACGTGAGAGTAGATTTATGTTCTGCTCAATGTAGTTGATTTTGTGTGGTGAATTATCATCTATTTCATCTGTGATTTGTTTTCTTATACAATATACAAACCGCACAGCACAGCAGCCTGCTTCTATGCTCATTATTAGGGGAGCAGACATTCACTGAAAAAATCTCACAGGGTGTAGGTTATAGCCATGTCGGTCTAAGAACATCAGCAGACAAGATACCAGATTTACCCAAAGAACCTTTTATTAGACCAACTCAGATGGTTGGAAAAATTCTACTTAGCAAGCTTTGGGGTTTAAATACGCTTTCTCAGGCTGAGGAAGCATCTTCAGTTGGTGTATGTGCTCTTCCTGGATGGAATGAATGGTAAAGAAGCCAGAGGCTGCCTTTCTTGCATGCAGACCAGATTTTGTTACCATAAAGTGGACATGATCCTTTAGTTAGATGGCTTTGAAATACTAATACTAATTCAATATCCAACACAGCAGGCAAAGTTCTGCTTTCAGATTCTCATGGCATATCATGGCTCTGCTTATCTGCTCTCCCTCCTTAAATTAAACTTGCTGTAATTAATGCAGATACTGTAAACTGCTTTTTATATTGAATGCCCTAGGACAGGGGTGGGCAAAATGCAGCCTGCAGGCTGCATGCAGCCTGCCAGGCCATTTTATCTGGCCCACAGAGCCCCTAAAAATTTAGAAAATTAATATTTATCTGTCCCAGCTGCCTGTCACGTGGCCCTCAATGGCTTGCCAAAACTCAGTAAGCGGCCCTCCATCCACAATAATAGCCCACCCCTGCCTTGGGATCTAGTAGGGTTGACAGATGCTGTGGAATTATTGCATGTCTGCTTTAAAAGTTTGATATTTCCAGAGAAGCAAAAGATTATTTATGAAACAAAAAGGAGATGGGACCAAACTAGTAAATTCAAAGCCAGGTCCAAATTTAGATCCATGGTTTGGCCTATTATTAACATGTGGACTAGGCATTAAGATTGGATCCAGATCCCAACTTTAACAAAGCTTGGGCTGGGAAGGGAGTTCAGACATATCTACAAAATTAGAGACATACCCAGTCTTTTATGATGTGTCCTGCTCCAACACATGAAGCTAAAAATCTGAAACATCAATATCTGGTCCTCATCTAGCATTTGTATTTGCTTAAGAGTTATGCATTAAATGTTTACTAGGTAGCAAGACTTTTTGGAAGCTAACTTTTTTCCTTCGCTTTCCTTCATTTTGGCACAGCATCACAGCTACAGCTGCCAGTATTGGGGCTGCAGGAATTCCTCAGGCCGGACTGGTCACCATGGTCATTGTGCTGACATCTGTAGGTTTGCCTACGGATGATATCACTCTCATCATTGCAGTGGATTGGTTCTTGTGAGTATTTCACATTGAAGAGATAGACCATATTTCAATGGAAAATTCTAATCATTACTGAGCGTGCACATCATTTAATCAGTCGGCTTACTCTGTATGTGTGAAACTGTTTTATAAATTTAGAGGGGGTTGGGTCTGTGTTTGTTTTTTTAAATACCATATTTTCTCATCACTGTAACCCTAAAGGAAATGAGGGGCATATTAAGGATCGTACACAAAACAAATACAAATGTCAAAGCACCCCTCTCAGCCAAAGGAACTATTCTGAAAGCTTTCAAACAGCCTGAATCTGACATCAGTAAATAAGAATCATAACACTCCAGTATAAGATGCTGTTGTTTGCATGTTGCTAATGAGCATCCTACAGTGAAAAAGGCATGAAAGGTTCCAGTGTTCAGTTCAGAACTGCTTTATCCCAAATTTCCTGACTTTCCAGGTCAGTGAGGGTTTCTGTGCCTTCCCAAGAAATGAGTAAATAAAATAAATACAGTGAACAATATCCATTAGCCCTATCCAGCCACTGAATATGAACTGAGAATTGGTGGATATAGCTGAATGACAGTGCAATTTAATTTTCCCATTCCTGTACATGTTAGAAAAGAAAACTGAGCAGTATTCCTAAGGATTGGGGAATTCCTTCAGGCCCAGCCAAGGTAGAAGTGCTGGAATATCATTGCCACCATCAGAATCCAGGGACCTTTCCCATACTTGCAAAGCTGCTAAGCTAATTCACCAGCCAAGGAAGGAACATGCCAGACCAGAACCTGTTTCAGGATCTTTGCCTCAAGGGACATCGCATTGGTTAAATCAAACCTTAAGCAAAAAAATGGTAAAATAAGCTATTTCATCAGCTATCTAGATCCTATTTTACCCTAACTTCCTTCCTACAACCCATAAGTCTCCAGCTCAATTGAGGGCTTTCTAAACTTTATAAGCTACAAGTGATATTCAGGGTACCATTTGACTAATAGCATTACCTCACTGCTTCAGCTGAAAGGAGGTCCACTGTGCCATGGATGAATCTCACCCTGAATTATTTACAGAATATTAACAAGGATCATGTTGTTGCATTAGAATGAGAATTTTGATACAATTTTTGGTTCATATAGAAAAGGATTCATGCCTGTGACATTTCTGATACATGCATGTGCATAAAAGCATTGGACAATCCAGTAATAGTTTTCAAAGACTATTTTACCATAGTAAATCTGCCCATATTACTTGAAAAAGTCAGAAAAAATAGACTAATTCAACTGTTTTTCATAGGGACCGTCTTCGTACCACTACCAATGTCTTGGGAGACTCCATTGGTGCAGGAATTGTTGAACATTTGTCACGGCATGAACTGAAGAGCAGAGATGCTGAGATGGGTAATTCTGTGATAGAAGAGAATGAAATGAAGAAACCATATCAACTCATCTCACAGGAAAATGAGCGTGAAAAACCATTAGACAGTGAAACCAAGATGTAGGATAAAACAGGCATGTATCCAACACTAGAATTGTGGGAAACATACTTCTCCAACCATTTATACCTTGTTTTCACCAAGTCCATTTAGTCCATGTTTCTCCCCTTTATGATAGCACGGAAAAAGAATTAATCACAAACATTCCAAATTAGCAGTGACCAAGGTGTATGTTGGCATTCTACTTTAAAAAATTAACAGGCTTCACACTGGTCCTGCGAGAGATGCGTTAACTGATGAAAAATACAAAAAAAAGTGTGTGTATTAAATCCTAAAAGTCCCCATGTATGTGTTACTGAGCTCCGGAAATGTGACCTTTTTTTTTTTTTTTTTTTATAAGCTGGAAAGACAAAATAGATAACAGAACCTGAAAAAACATTTTTATTTTTTTAAATACCTATTGCCATTTCCTAACACCAATAAGCACGCAATCAACAATTCCTAACTTGATGACTGAACCAAGATATATGAACTAACAGGATTGTGGTCTTTCATCTGCTGTCATTTTTCACCTGTGTTATTTCCTTATTCTATACTAGAAGCAGAATAAAGAGAGTCACAGTAAATGAAAGAAAAATAAGGAAGAGATGTTCACATAAAATACTCATGAGTAGAGCTTTTACCAGATTGAGCTGAAATATCATTTTTCAGTTGAATTCTTCTGACTAAGACACTTAAGCACTAGCAAGGGCTGATCTTGACAAGCGCTTATGTTTACTGCTCCCTTTGACCTGTGAACACTTATGCATATTCATAAATATTTGCAGGATCTAAGCCCTAGATTGGCTGGTCTTTGATGCAAGAAGGGTATCTTCATCTGTGTTTGGAAAATACTTAATACACAGTGGGTGTGCTCATAGTCTAAATAGTCAGCAATGATAAAACAAGCTGAGAGCATCAGCACTTTGTAGGAAGCACTACAGGCCTGGGAGAAGTTGATCAGAAACTAAGGAGATGGAGTTCTGGGTCAGACTCGGTGTTGCAGAAACTACATTGCTGGAAGTCGTGACAGAAGGGGCATTTAAGTGGAAGTCTGCCAGCGGCTCGGTCATTCAATTGAGAAGTAGTGAGTCTAATAGCCAAATACACCTTATTCTACTTGCGAGACAGAACTTACTGTCTCATTATGAGGTTCCCAAATTTTTGTGGGTTTACCAGCAACATCTCTATTAAAACATAAAGAATACTATTTTAGAAAATTAAACTAATGGGTGCTTTATTACTTCTTACTAGAAAAAATATAAATTGCAGAATAGTAAATACATTTATTAAAATGTTGAAAGTATAATAAAAAGGATCTTAAGAGCAATACTGTAGGTCTCCTTCAGGGAATACAGGAAGAAGGAATAAAAAAGGGAGCTAATAGTAATCTTGTAGCTTTTTTGTCCACTTCATGATTATTCCCTGATGAAGCCCTTTTATGAAAAACATTAATTTTATTATTTTCCTTTGTTCTCCTTGTGTCATTGTAGGAGTCAAAGAGTAAAGTTTATAATGCAGTTAGAGATGGGGAACTGAAGGAGCATGAATAAAAAAGCACAGCACTTACTGAATGGCCTTTTCTGCACAGAAAACTTTGGTTTAGTTCCAGGTTTTGGCTGGTGTGTTTGTTTTTGAGACAGAACAGAGACATTTCCTTGCTGCAACCACTACTCACCAAACTCCCATGATTAACACATGTAACTTTTGTCTCTGAAAGAACATAACAACTATAAAGTGAAAACGTCAGTGTGCTAGTTGAAGGCAGGTCTTTTCCCATGTTTGGGGCCACATGACAGGCTGTTTTTTCCAAGAGTGACAAGTCCTTGTTCATGTGAGTAGTTTAAGTGGGAATACTTTTACAAGAGTGGTGAGCAGGATTTAACTCAGAGTCCTGAGCAGTAAGAATGCTTTAAAACCTGCAACGTTCTATAAAATTCTCTAACTGGAAAGTGAAAATGTGTGATTTTTTTTGCTAACAGAATACAACCCTAGCATGCAGACACACACATCTTCTGATTTGTAATTAGAGTTATTTTTATATAGATACTGTATTCAGTATGTGTGTATAAAAGTTAACTTTAGAATGGAGTAACAATTTAATTGTTAAAACTCTATTGGGGAATACATTGCAAAGACTTAATATAAATGGCTGTCTTTCTATGACATCAGTTGAGAAAAGTGAATTGTGTCACAGAGTATGTGATCTTTTTTACACTAACTTTGTTTCTTATGGAAATCAGGTATTATAGAGAGATCCCTTTTCCGAGCTCGCATTGGCTCTGCATTTAGAGGCACCCGGTGGGGATTGAAAAATGTTACTTTGTAGATGTATTTTCAATAAAAAATAGTTTTACATTATTTGGCTGTTGTGCCATCTTATTCAAATTTTATGTAATGGGGGAATCTTCATGCACACTCAAAACATGTAAGGGGACTTAAAGGTTCCATAGACTTGAGTACTTTTTACCCTGCAGGGTCTTACTGTTGCATGAGTATTTCTCCTAGATTCAAATGTCCATTTCCTAAACTTTTTCAAGAACAAGTGTCCACTCTTCATGGACAAAACAAATGAAAAAGAACATTAAAGGAAGAAATAAAAAGAGAAAATAAGAAAAAAAGTGAAAAGTCCAAGTCTGAAGACAATGTTATAAAGAACTAGGAAATGATTTATCAAACTTAGTACTAATGCTGATGATAGCACTGATTTAATGTTTATTATCACAATTGAACAAAGAAAAATAAAGTGTGAAAGAAGGTGTGTGATTTGATGGGTTAGAACTCAAAATGAGGGAGTGGGTTAATTACACTTTCACTGCTGGATATTTTAGCTAATAATTGCAACAACTGTCAATGAAGTTCAGTTCTCTTGAAAATATAAATACAAAAATATTTAAAAGCATAGGGTTGGAAGAGATTTCAGGGCTCACATAGTCCAACCCCCTGCACAAATTCAGGATGCACTGTTCTTATACCAGACAAATGTCTATCTAGCCTATTTCTGAAAACCGTAATGAAAGGTATTCTACAAATTCCGTAAGTATCTGGTTCTACTGTCCTACTGTTCTGACAATCAAGCTTTTTCTGAGATTTAATCTAAATCTGTTGTGCTAGTTTAAACCAACTGCTTCATGTCCTGACCACTTTGGCAAAGGAAAAGTAGTTCTCCATCTTCTTTATGTCAGTCTTTCCACTATTTGAAAACTGTTATCACATCCCCCTTTAATCTCCTTTTTGCCACACCAAGCACATCTGGTTCTCTCTAACTTTTCTTACACAGCTTGCATTCCAACCCTTTACCACCTTTGTTGTTCACATCTGGACCCTTTCCATTTTCCACACACAGTTCTTAAACTGTGGAAGCCAGAACTGCACACAATACTCAGAAGCAACAGCTTTCAACCTGTGATCTGTGGACCCCTGCAGGTCTGCAGACTATGTCTAAGGGGTCTGAAAAAGATTACTATGATCAGTCAAAAGTATGCGACTATAAGACCTAATCAGCATGGAGTAGACAGTATCCCCTCCTGTGTCTGACATGTTATACAGTGTAAAATTACATTTGGGTTTTTTTGGCAAGTGTATCTCATTGCTGAGTCATGATGAGTCTGTGATCTAACAAACCCCCCAGGAACAGTAAAGTCTGTAATTCAGCAAAATACTTCTCAGCAGTGCAACTGCCTTTCCATTCATCTGCCATCCTGTATTAGTGCAGGGTAGAGCACCTTACCCGTGTCCTAGATCAAGAGCACTGTTCTCCTGCTGCCAAATTTCCAAACCCATGGGGCGCCTCAAGCTCTGCACCTGGGATTGGATGCCCAATCCCAGGAAGCAGGGCAAGCCAGGGGCAGCACTGGGCCCCAGAGCCCAATCCTGCTGTTGGAAACTGGGAGGGGGTGATGTCAGGCCCCCAGGGCCCAATCCCAGCATACTGGAAGGAGTGCTGCCAGGCCCACAGGGCCCAATCCTGGCAGAAGGGGGTGGAAATGGGCCCCAGGGCTTGATCCTGGCATGCAGGGCTCAATATGGCCCACAATATTCATCTAGCCCACAGGGCCAAAAGACTGAGCACCTAGATAAATTATTCTATTCTTCAATCCATCAAGATTAATGGTCCTCGCCCCTACCTTAGGCAAATTCAAGAGGAGGTTGGATGATCACCTGCCTGGGGTCTTGT